TATATATATGGGGATTTACCTCTGTAGCACTTGAAAGCAACAAAATGTAATAAAAAAAAGAAATTTACATGCATGTATGTCTCATGTACTTGCATATCTAACACGTAAAGTTTGATATTTATAATTATTACATGGACACGTGCGTAAAGTTTGATATATTTCACTTTTAGAAAGTTAATAATGATGATATTTTTCGTATGATGTTAAAGTTTGGAGTTTATAAATAGAATTATCAAAGTATACGTGCCAGATAATGTAAATACATTAAGAGTTGTTTGGTTTTGTAGGTAAATGCCTCAAATATTCTCTCATAATTTAACTTATAAGGTTGTATATAAAAAAGAGTGGCAACATAAATCATAAAGATGATTTGCGGACTCCCGACAGGTGATATGACTTAGCAACACCCTTCAAGGACGATTCCTGATCTTTTGATTGGCCAACAGCATCATCCCCACTCGAAAGAATGACAGACTTTTGGGGACTTGAGGGCGTATCATCCCAGAGAGATTCAACAAGATCATGCCCACCCTGACGAAAAGAATTGTACACCAATTCGACTCGATAATCACCTGGCCGGTCCACATCACAGTCCAGCAGTCGCCTGACCATACAACCATCCGGCCTCATTGCTGTCTGATCTAAAGTCGGGCGGCCATGTCAATGGGTCCCCACAACCTACATATATGCGCTGACTAAAATGCCCCCGATGTGCTCTTGAACTTTAGACGCATAATGTGTAATTGTACAATAAACCGTTTCTATAAATAAGGGGGTTATTTCATGAATAAAAGGAGCGACTGATTATTCATTACTGTGTTATTGCTCTCTCTCTTTATCTCATCCAATGTTTTATTCCTTAGGTATGTCTACAGGACAAATCTGGATGCAACAACAACATATGTCGCGTTGTTAGCTTTTTTGTGCAAAGCCAACAAAATTCGAAACAGGACCAGTACTAGCACTTACATAGTCATCTGTATTTAACATAACTTAGTCTAGCTTGTTTTCAAAAGCAACAGAGATGTAATTGCATTTGCAAACTGGTAACGACTATATTACTTAATTTTATCTGATGAAGTTACTCTCAAATTTTACCAGAAAACCTCCCATGAAAAAATATTAAAGAGCAAACCCCTTGCATATATGCAAAGAACAGACCAAAAAAAAAAAAATTTACGGACCTGGTTTACAAATGGAGGTACTTTAGCTGTAAGAAGCAACTTGTCAATTAAGCAAGGAGAAAAATTGCTGACTCCAATCAAGTTGGTAAGACCAAGCTTGAGACAATCTTCCATGGCTTCCCACACTGATTTGATATCCAAGGGAAGCGCATCTTCCCTACTTATAGGGAAGCGGCATGTGCCTTGCCTTGAGCTCATTGGCATGTGGATTAGATAAAGGTCAATGTAATCCACTTGCAGATTTCTGCATGATAAATTTTAGTTTAGAGCGTGTCTGCAGATGTTTTATTATTTTTATTATACTCTCAAGCTATTTTTTGCCAGATTGATTAAATTGGGTTTGTTGACTGTAAATTGGCTTGAATATTTTGCAATTTGAGCTTGTTAAATTTGTAGTCACTCGCACATTAGAGACATATGCATAAAATACTTGTATCTAAAGAAGCGAAAATGCATGCAGCAATGATACTTAAATCGAGGGGACATCACCCATTCTGAGATCCCTTGATTCATGCTCCTCTTGGGACGACCATAGTCATATTAGCCTCTGAGATTGGAAAAAAGATTATGTACGGAGTCTGGATGCAGCTCTGCATCTGGACTCCAATGAAATATTGCCACGTGTATCGAACGAAAAGACGACAATAACACAGCAATAAAACCACAATAACACCGCAGTGTTATTTGCGTGATCATCCGGGCAGTGTTATTAACAATGTTCATAGGTGTTTTTGCGGTGTTATTAGAGTTTAGTGGAGTTGTTTTGTGGGGGTTATTGCAGTATTACCACGGTGTTATTTGCGTTGTCTTTGGGGCGGTGTTATTAGCGCTGATCATTGGTATTATTGCGATGTTATTATAGTGTTATTCAAATTATTTTCCCAGGTTATTGAAGCGAAACCGTTGTACCAGTAGTAGTGTGGTGTTATTAGTGTTGTTTTGTAAAAAACGCCACAATAAACACTTTTTTGTCATTTTTTAGAGTCATTCAGATACATGTGGTAATATTTTATTGGAGTCTGAACGGAGGGCTGCGTTTGGACTTCATATGTAATATTTTTTCCTGAGATTGGGGGCTTCAAGATTGGAAAAAAGATTATGTACGGAGTCTGGATGCAGCTCTGCATTTGGACTCCAATGAAATATTGTCACGCGTATCGAACGAAAAGACGACAATAACACCGCAATAAAACCCCAATAACACCGCAGTGTTATTTGCGTGGTCATCCGGGCAGTGTTATTAACACTGTTCATAGGTGTTTTTGCGGTGTTAGTGGAGTTGTTTTGTGGGGGTTATTGCAGTATTACCACGGTGTTATTTGCGTTGTCTTTGGGGCGGTGTTATTAGCGCTGATCATTGGTATTATTGCGATGTTATTATAGTGTTATTCAAATTATTTTCCCAGGTTATTGAAGCGAAACCGTTGTACCAGTAGTAGTGTGGTGTTATTAGAGCTGTTTTGTAAAAAACGCCACAATAAACATTTTTTTGTCATTTTTTAGAGTCATTCAGATACACGTGGTAATATTTTATTGGAGTCTGGACGGAGGGCTGTGTTTGGACTCCATATGTAATATTTTTTCCTGAGATTGGGGGCTTCGATGATGATATATTTGAATTTCATTTGGATTCACCCTTCTTTATTCAAAGGGGTTTGCTCGATTCACGGCTAGGGCTCAAATCAAGCAGAAGCGAGCTAGCTATTTATACTTCTTGTTTGGACTTCTTAATAAAATTTTAAAATAAATTCAAGATTTTCTTTTATTTAAAAAAAGCATACAATCCCTTTTTAATGTATAATTATATCCCTTTTAAAAATATATTCTTAAAATTACTTAATCTAATTTAATTTGAATATAATTAGAATATTTTGTGCTAATTAGTTAAATTAATAGATTTAAACCCTAAACAAAAATTAGATGAGAAGATTACAACCTATTGTTTTTAAAGAGCTAACAAATCACATATATATTTTTACTAACTTCAGGGTTACTTCAATGGGATTTCATAAATACGTCGACGACTAAACAAATCTTTTAAATACTTGTACTAACGAAAAAAACTTGCCTGAGCGACTTCTGTAGAGCGGGGACGACAAGCTGAGGATGTGCAGAATCGCACCATAGCTTAGAAGTAATAAAGAGCTCGCTGCGCGAAGAGATGAGGCCGATACGCAGCGCTTCGGCGATCGCCTCCCCGAGAGGCTGCTCCGTCTCATACAATGTGGCCGTATCGAAGTGGCGATAGCCGAGCTCTATGGCATGAAGGATGGCCGGTTTCGTGCTCGCCGGCGCGAAGGGCATGTCGGCCGTCCCCATTCCCACAGCCGGCATGGCCCTCACGCCATCACGCAGCCTTATCTCCGGAATCTTCGCCATTTTTTCGATATCGGATCAAAGCAGGCCTGAAGGGGTTTTAGCTTTGTTTGTAGAGTTCAAGAGCTTGTGCGTTTTATATGGAGCGAAGGTGGAAATGAAGTGCTGCTGTTGGAGCCACTTGGCGCGTTGTGTGGCATGGCGTTGAGATATCGAGGCCAATCAATTGGGCACTCATCTTATATTAGAATTTCAAAAAAAAAATTATATAAATAATAAAATTTAATAATTTTTTTATGTAATTTAGATAATTTAATAAATTTGTTTTCTTTTGATATTTTTTTTGCTTGTTATTTGAAATAATTATACATTTTATGATTTTGAATATTTGAAAAATAAGATGTGCATAATACATAATATTATACATATCAATTAGAGAGGAGTGTGCTCCTTTTCGATTGGGTATGTACATAATATTTTTTCATAAGACAGAAGGTCATGATAGCTTTAGCCGAGAACTTGGACGAACGACATAATTAATGTTAGAAAATTGCATAACGAAACTCCTCTCATGATAAATCTATTTAAATGTGGGTTAAGTCAGGAGTCGAACCAACAATGAAAAATAAAAAGATATTTTAGGAGGAGCAAAACTGATATTTCAAGAGGGATAAAATATTAAATTAAGCTCTCATCTAAATAAAAATATGAATTTAAGAGGGGCAATTAATCCCGCTGCATTACGTGTAACCTAAGCCATTATTGTCTTCAATTTCTACCTTTAATGTGAGTCTAGTCTCTCGTTATAGCCTAAGCCATTATTGTCATCAATTTCTGTCTTTAATGCGAGTCTAGTCTCACGTTCTAAATTCTAACGTAAACTCTTGCGCTTGCTGCTTTGAAGTCTTCTCAAGTCCAGGAAACACTCTATAACAAGCTTAGTTATCTCCGCAAGATTTCATGCTCCCTCGTCTCTGGTCTTGTTTGGTTGTCTCAGGTATTGTTTGGTGGCCAGTGCCCAACAAACATGAGAAAAAAATAAAAACATGAGCTTAGAACTTATAAGTTCTCAGAACAATATAAAATTAAGAATGCTTGAAATATGATTGAAAGATAAGCAAGCTTAAATTACTACGCATGTGGAATGTGTTATATATTAAATACCTGATGTGCATATGGTTGTTGCGTTATTGTCTATCAAATAGGAGAAAACATTGTATACGGTTACACCACGCTGTTGAATGCACTGCGTGGTACAATTCATATTGTCGTCCGTACATCTGATTTTCACACGTAATATTTTCTTCTTAAATAGAAAAAAAGCTCATAAATATAACTGCTATATTTTTTTTCCTTTGAATTTATTATTCGCCATGATTCTCACTTGCAATCTGGATCACTTATATTTTTTGTTTTTATTTTATTTTATTATATTTTTATTTGATACAAACAAAATATATTTGATAAGTTTGATTAAAATATGTTTTTTAATACTCAAAATACTTAAAAATTATTTTTAATTGTTTTAAAAGTTTGTTTATATGTTTTTAGAAATAAAAATTAAACTATATTAAAAACACATTAAACAAATATATTTTAAAATACAATATAAAATGCTATATATATATATATATATATCCCAAAAAAGCCTTAGAATTTGTACACTAAAAATGTGTCCATGCTGATCCTAAAGAGATCGAACGGTACCGAAGGTCTACCAAATGAAGACCAAAGGGCTGCCGGACGACGACCGAAGGGCTACCTGACGATCGAAGATCGGCCAAACGACTGAAGGTTCACTAGATGTCCTAAAGGCCATCCATGCAATAAGAAACGAGCATCCACACAAACGACCGGACAAAGGTCTAGTACCCTCAACAATATCACACGTATTAACGTGAAACTTTCTCAACAACTCTCCCAAAGATTTATAGAATTCACCAAGGCACAAGCAAGGTGAACGACCACCATAAGGCTGACTGGCTGCTGCTCTCAAAATCGACTTACTTTCTACAGCGAAGGGCGATAAATACCCAGACAAGATAGTCGACCGACTCGAGGGCCTACCAACCAAAATGTATATGTACACAAGAAGTTGCCAAAATCAATTAAAAATATGCAAAGTCACAACGAAAGCAGAATGTCATGTAACTTCTATTAAAGTAGGGGTAAATGATCCTAGCAATAGTTCTGATTATATTTTTCATTTATATTTCCTTATTTTGCAACAAAACCAAAAACTTGATCTTGAAGAAAAATAAGAATTTAACTTTTTAATTTATATATATTGACATACTACGTAAGTATACGTATCGTTATCAAGTAATATAAGACTTTTCTGATTAATACTTGAATATCGAACCCACAGGGAAATGATGCAATATGTACTTTTGAAATCTTTCTATTTTTAAAAAGATAATTATTTAAACTATAGATGTTTTGCAGTAATGAAATTTTAAATATTTTTGGTATTTTTGATATTTTGATAAAACAGTAACAACTTAAAAAGATAACTTGAGTTTTTGTAGAAAAAAAGTACTAAATATAAAAATATATTTCTCTCTATCATGAATCAGTAATAAGTATAAGAATTCTGCTGTGGAAGTATGCAAATTGTATTGTGCCAAATAAGAGCAATAATATTTTTTACCCTTACAAGAGATGCTATAAAGAACATTGGCTAATTTAAAATTTGAATTGTGCTGAAGACCGGCTAGGCAGGGAAAATACCAGCTCTCACTCTAGAGTTCCCTCGATTCCCTTCACCTGGGAGCTAACATCTCGTATTAAAACCTAAAATAATAAACCAAGTTGAGGGCTTTAACCTGTCACTTTAAAGTCCTCTAACTCTAAACCCTTCAATGAATATTTCCTTATTTATTTGCACTCAATCATATGAACTACATTCTCATTCATACAACCTCATGTGATTCTTTCCAATTGTTGACTGAGACAATACCAACTCAATTCTTACATGTTCTCACAACAAATTTTAACATCTCGATTGGCCAAATCAAGAAGTAAATGAAGTACATGAATTTAAATCATCACAACTTCTTTCAACATTAAATATTAATACTTTTCACAACTTCCATCCAACACTTAATTACTTATCATTTTAAAAAGAAAATTAAAGAAAACTACTCAGAATTAATAGAGAAAACAAAACCACATTTTAGTTTAAAGTAGAAATCATTATCAAACCAACAATAAGTCTCAATTAAAACCAGTCTCAAAATAAGTCTCAATTAAAACCAAAAGTAGTCTAACACAAAAGATAAAACTTATCTCAAATCCTCCACCAAACTCTTGAAGTTCCTTTAAATCTCTTCTCTTTTACAACACTCTCAGTATAAAACTAAAAAAAAAGGATAAAACAAATATTTGGTGTGGTTCCTGAAAATCTTTCCAAACTAAATCCCCAATTTCTTTAAGAACTTTCAAAACTTTCTCTTTTCAAGCACACACTCACTCAAAGTTTCAATCTTTCTTCTTTTATAATTTTCCAATAGGTGTCTTGGTATTTCTTCAAAATATGTCTTGATTCGATGTATTTCCCCAAGAGATGCCTCCTTTCACAAGTATTTTTGTCCTTGGTGGTTGTAACCACCTATTTATGCCAAAAGGTGCCTCA